TGTTTTACAACTTATTTTGTAACAAATTGCTTCTATTTTTTGACGAATTTGCACAATTTTCACTCAATTTCTACACTATGTTTCATTGGTTCACTAAATATTTAAACAAATATGAATAGTGTCCATGCAATATTCATCATTATAAATTCGAATATATTTTGTCTGTATGTTCCTTTTTCACGCTTTAACCACTGAAACAATTTTAATAAAATTTGGCATAAAGACAGATTAAGCTATAAAAATGAACATTGCCTACTGTTTATTGTGCAAAGTAATATAAAAGGGGTGTAAAATAGGGTTTAAATATGTATATGGACCATTAACTACACGTGCAGTTATATTATTCGAACTAAGGTGGCGTTATAATGAAATAAATTGCAATAAGTATGATATTACACACTTCCTGGGATTAAAATCCAATAAATATCACTTTACGTGTAGATGAATACAAATTAAAGTTTAACCAAACGTTTTTATACCAAAACATTTTAAACATTGCCTAAGACTAAGTACCTAGGTAGGTACATAGTAAATGTTAATAATAAAAATAAATACGTGCTAAACACGCGCAGTACTGAAATCGTGAGCTATACACTATTATTAAACAAATACACCGCCTAAGGCAGATACTTAACAATAAACCAAAGTGAAGTGAAGTAAAGTGCAAACACTCGGAAAATTGTTTTCACGCACAACGTTCCCAATTACGAGTTCAGAAAATTACATACTTATACTATACTATTTAAAAACCACTAGTTTATGCCTGATTATGAGGTTTCTAGGTTAGTATTTATCATCTATAAATAAATATTATATTTATTGTAATATTAAGTTATTAATCATGGCTCGTTTAGTTTGGTCTGGTCCCCGAGCGCATGCGATGCTGGACAAAATAGGAAAACGGTCGGATTGAAAAAAATCGAAATTCGTTACAAGGTCACGCAGTATACTCTACTGGAAGTGTGGAAGCTATTTTATGTTTCAGTGTGTGTATGTATTTATTTGCAAATATAAATATGTATGTGTTTGTGGTGACTTGTGGTGTGGTATGACATGCCATTGCCTATGCTGGTGATATGCGTGGTCGGACATAGTTGAGAGTATGATGTGAACTGAGTTTGAAAATATTTATTCAATTGGTCGATTGACAAATGGGCGAATCAATAAATAAACAATAAAGTAAATATTTAATTAGACAGGTTAGTAGAAGGTAGCACGGTGTATTTTATGTTTAAAGAGATTTAAAAAGTGAAAAGTGCAAAAAGTTTTTTTGAAATTATGGTTGATAGAAAAACAAATTAGTAATTTTTGAAATTTATTTTGAAATAATAGAGTGTTAAGCAATATTTTTGGAGATTTAATGTAAAGAATTCCAATAATATTCTGAAATTTCGAAAAGAAATAGTTAATAAGTAACTTAATTTGGTAAATATCGTTAAATAATTATAATTAAAATAATTGTCTTTAGAGTTTAGATGTTTAGTATGTCATTATCAATATTTTTAGATACTTTTTTGATAGATTTTTGAGATATATTAATTATTGTTGAAGTTTCTGTGAATCTCCAATATTTTCGCATCTTTCTCAAGTTTTATCATAATAATTAAAGAAATGTATTTATATTTTAATTATGACTTGGAAATTTAGTAACAAATATATACTAAAAATTAAGATTTGGTAAAAGTGATGGTTTTCGTGATATAAAAAAAATATGAAATTTTAATGTTTTTAATTTATTAATTCAATTGAAAATTTCATAACTTGTTTATTATTAATTCACGCACAATTTATCAACAACAACTATTTAATAATTCTCATTACTTTAAAAGTTTTACCATTTTTTACTTAAAAATTAAATGTTTTTAAATTCACACTTGATTAAATCTCTATGTTGATGAAATATTTACCCGTCATGATTTCTAAACCTGTCGTTAATTTAAACGCAAATTATTCCCGTATCGCTGCTCAAATCATCAATTTATCTAATGCAGTGGCAAATATTTACGTTTATTTACTGTTTGGCGCTTATGTCTCCTATATATATGGTATTTGAAATATTTGCGAAACTTAACGAAACGAGTAACTTGAACTTAACGCACCGCACAACCTCAACTTATTTAAATTTCATTTGCTGACCAACGACGCAAATGCACAAATATGGACGCCTGCTTGTCGGCGCGTCGCCTCTCACCTTGCGAAAATCGTAAATTTCACTTTTACGGAATTTACACGTCAAAATTATTATAAATAATAACATATCGTGAATTTGGGAAAGGAAATATGCGAAATATGTTTAATTTTCGCGCCGGAGTTTAAATATTTAAATATTAATGTGATTTGTTTTAATTTTAACAATTTGACAATTTCATGGTCATGATTGAGGTTATTTTGCGTCGTTTATGAACATAATCTTCTTAGGATAGATGTAGAATTTAGTTCTGAATGTATTTCTGAAAAAATAATTTGTTTATTGCTAATAGTTTTTAAGTTATTAAGGAATATTACTGCAATATCATAATTTATCGTGAGAGAAGCGCCGTAAAAGTTATAGTTTTTAAATAATAACTTGAAAACGATTTGAGTTAAACTGCAAATTTGATTGGACATGTGTTCACAATTAAATTTTACACTCATGTACCATAGTATTTGTTGTTATCATTGTTATTAAACAAGTTATTAACAATTAAAGTGGAATATTGCAACTTTTTTTTACAAATTGTAGGTTTAATTGTTTATAACTTATTATATGATAAATATATCAACAAAATCTTGCCACAAATTGGGAATATATTCCTGAAAAAATCATTTGTTTATTACTAATAGTTTTCAAATTATTAAGGATTATATAAGCAATATCATAACTTTTCGCAAATTCAACAAATTTGTGAAAATTTTAGTTATTAATTAATAACTTGAGAACTATTGGAGCTAAACTGTTAATTTTTCTAGAAATTTATTCACAAATAAATTCTATATTTATTATAGATTTTGTTATTATCATTATTATAGACAGTGATATTAACAATTAAATTAGAATATTGCGATTTTTCTTTCAAATTATTGATTTAATTGATTATAACTTATTATGTGATAAAAGTATTAACAAAATCTTGTTGTAGGTAGATGAAGAACTTGGTTCTGAATGTATTCCTGAAAAAATAATTTGTTTATTGCTAATAGTTGTTATGTTATTTAGAAAAATAGTAATTATTGAATAATAACACGAAAACTATTAATAATAAATAAATTATTATTTCAGGAATATATTCTCAATTAATTTAAACACAAATTTTACATTTAAAGTTTACACATCAAAATTATTATTATTATTATTACAAACATATTATGAACAATGAAAATACATGAAACATGTTTAATTTTCGCACCGGAATTTAAATATTTAAATATTGGTGTGTGATGTGTGTTTTAATTTCGACAATTTGACAATTTCATGGTCATGATCGCGATTGCGCATTGTGCCATGTTGTTAAAACTGTAACAATTTCAGTCTCGTTTTTGACGCGTGTTCACGTTCACATGTTGTGTTGTCTTGTTTGTAGTCGAAGTAAACGATACGAATGTAAGTACTCGTACAAGCGAGTATAAATGCGACAAGATGATGGCGAGAAATTCCAAGCCGGTGATCGAACGCGCCGAAAACAACGCTAGTTTTCTTTATCAGGTAATTACAACTACAGCGACAAATTAGCATCAGTATTAATGCAGGTATAGTTGTGGTGTACTTACAGGTTAACATGGAGTATTAATTGTAATCATTTTATTTGGTTTAGTTTTTTGTTAATTACTCATAAACTAATTAAGGAAAGATAATAATTTATTAAGGAATTGATTCATTATTAAATTGTGTTTATGAATATGTTAAAAAATTATTGATAATTGTTTTATATTTTAAGTTACAAGGCAATTTTTGCTGATTTTATGTTTTTTTTTTTTTTTTTTACTAAGTGCAGGTTTAATTGTTTACAACTTGTTTCATGATAAATTTATCAACAAAATCTTATTGCAGTTAGAAGAAGAGTTTACTGATGAATGTATTTGTAAAAAAAATTATTTGTTTATTGTTAATAGTTTTCAAGTTATTAAGAAATTTAATTGCAATATGATAACTTATCACAAGAGCAACAGTTTGTAAAAATTTTAGTTATTAATTAATAACTTGTAAATTATTTTAGGCAAACTCTTCATTATTTTAGAAAAATATTCACAATTAAATTATACATCAATTTGTCAATGATTTTGTTATTATAATAATTATTCAAAAAGTTATAAACAATTAAAATTGAATATTGTTACTTTTTTCAAAGTTGACACAAATTAGCCAATAACTTTTGATTTATAACTCTTATCATTGACATTTTTATTACTATAAATACGCAATTTAATACTGAATTGTTTTTTGAAGAAATTATTGCTCTACCTATATTAGTTTATGAGTAAATAAACAAAAACTACTCAAAAATAATAAAAACACCACAATTGTAAAAACTAAAGCATTAACACACAAACAATGCGGCTTTTTTTTCGATGCTAAAAACGTGCTAAAACTGAAAAACTAAAACTAAGCCGCCATTCATTAATAAAATAAGCGTAATAAACGTAACAACCATGGCGCAATAATACATACTCGTACATATAACAGCAGTAATATAATAAATGGCGGAATGACGGATGCGGATTACAAGGTGCATAACATGGTGTCGATTTTACGCGAAATATTTAGACCAGCGCTAACATTCTAATGGTTTATTTATTCACATATAAAAATATACTAGATATACTCGTATTTATTATTAATTTATGTATATAACAATTATAACATTAATTACGTTTTGGTTATCAAGGAAAATTAATGTAGCTTAAAGGTATTAAAATATAAATTGCGAACGTTGTGTAATTTAAAACTCTTTTTTTTTTTTGCTTGTGTGCTGTAAAATTTTGAATGAACGGTGTAATTATTTTTGGTTTGTTGTTGTTTTTAGGTGAAATTGGAAAAAGTGTTTGGGGTGACGCTGAATAGTCGATCTGCGTTGGTGTGTGATCCGAATACCGGAGTTATTGCATATCCAGCAGGGTAAGTGTGATTTTATTTTTATTTTATGTTTTTGTTTGTTTATTGCGTTATTATTGAGGCGATTTTGTTGAAATTTTTAGGGTTTGTTTATTATTGTAATGGGTATAATTTAGGAAAATATTGTTTATTTATTTGGATTTTTATAAGAGTTATTAACAATTTTATGAAGAAAATAATTTTTAGTTGAATTTTGAATTTTTAGTTTTATTGCAATAAGTCAATAAAGTATTATCAGATTTTGATAATATTTATAAAGCTTGTTCATTATTTAGTAATAAATATTTGCTGTAAATTTAAGTCAGATTTTAGCAATAGTTTTTGAGTTGTTAATATAAACATTGAAAATTTTGTTTCATTAGATTTTGAATTTCTTTGTTTTCATTTGGTTTTCTTTTTATTGCACTAAAACTACTTACGCAATTATTTGTAAATTTAGAGTAGTTATTAATTAATATATCAGTCGCAATTTTTCCTAATATTATTGAATAATTTTAATTTTTTTTAAAGTTAGAAACTATTTTAGGAAGAAAATTATTTTTTCTTGAGTATTTTTTCTGTTTTGCCGCAATAAATCAATAAACAACTCTCGGAATTTAACAAAATTTTGATACAATAACAATAATTTAATAATCAATAAGTATACCAAATTTGAGAGTGATTAAAACAATAGTTTCTAAGTAATTAATAAAAATATCAAGAATTTGATTTGACTTTATTTTATTAGAATATGCTCTGTTTTTATTAGTTTTCGGCTTAATTACACATAAACTATCCGCGTGCTTAAATTCAAATTTTCAAAATTCATTTATCATTATATTAGACATCACCTCTCCAAAAATTATTAAATTATTTAAATTAATATAAAAGTTATAAACAATTTTATAAAAACTTTTATTTCTCCGCATTTATTTCAATTTTCACGCCATATATCCCCATTTAATATCACAAAATCATCAATATTATTACACAATACACTTAATTAAACAATAAACAATCTCTGAAAGTTTCAATACAATCCACCTTATAATACTCAAAATATTCGCATTTAAAGTTGAAAGTTAAACACAATTCTAATCTCTTGACATTTACACCTCCTCTTCAATTAACGAGTATTGTGATTTGATTGATTTATCTACCTTTATATTTACTTGCACAACGCTGCACTGAGTGAAAGTATTGATAACGCTGCATTCTGCAATAAATCTCTTCTTTCAACCTCAACCATAAAGAAAGTGCAGATTCTACACGCAAAACTCTTAAACAATTTACACTATAGATTGCACTTGTGCGCAAAATGAATGGTAAAAGTAAAATACTCCACGACTAAAAGGCTTAAGACTTATGTTCTTAAGAGATAATGAACGCTTGGATGTACGCACGGGTATGATTAAGACATTAAGGCGCTAACGACGCAGTCAGCTCATGAATCATGAGAGAATTGAATTTCCTTTGCGCTGCGTTATTTTTTAATTTACATCTAAACTTGTTGGTTTTTTGCAAAGTGCGCCACGTTCTGAATAGCATCCAGTGGCGTGTCTAAGAGCTATTAATTATAACGTTATTAGCTATTGAAAATTAACACTGGAAAAACAATTGAAACACTTTCAAAGTGTTTAAAATAAAAACAATTCAAGAGAAATTACAATTCAACATGGGATTTGGTGTATATTCGGTTGCATAACTGTTTTGAGATGTACTAAAAATAGTGTATGCATGGTTGCCTAACTAATTTGTTTGCAGATGTATAGCGAATAGTGTATACATGGTTGCATACCAAATTTGTTTGCAGATGTATCGGTTTATAGTGTATACATGGTTGCCTAACTTTAATTTTTGTTTGCAGATGTACAGTAGTGTTGTATCACTCGGCGTCGCGACACCAAAGCCACATTATCAATGCAAGCAGGAAGAGTATCACAACACTGGCGTTTTCATCCTGTGGGCGGTATATTGTCACAGGTGAGACCGGCCATCATCCTGCTGTGCGAGTATGGGATTTGTTACCGGATCCGCAGGTACCTGGCATGGCCGGGCATTATCCCAAACCACAACAGGTCGCTGAGTTTTTCGGACATAAATTCGGCGTTGGATGTGTGGTAACTATAAAAACACATTATTTATATATAGTTTAATGTGATTTTTATTAATTTTTGTTGTTTTTGTGTGTTTTAAGGCATTTTCACCCTCGAACAAAATCATAGTCAGTGTAGGCAGCCAACATGACATGATCGTAAACGTATGGGACTGGCGTAACAATATCAAAGTAGCAAGCAACAAAGTCAGCACCAAGGTGAAAGCGATTGCATTCGCTGAAAATGGCAGCTATTTCGTCACTGTTGGTAACAGACTTGTTAAGTTCTGGTATCTGGACGGTGGTAGAAACAAAGTAAGTAAAACATTACCTAATAAACTTATTTTACTAAACTTAAACTTATATTATAGTATAATAAAGAAGCAGTGCCCCTAATGGGACGCTCCGCCATCTTGGGTGAACAACGCAACAATAACTTCGTAGATGTCGCTTGTGGCAAAGCCGAATGCGGTGATAACACATACGCCATCACACGTTCCGGTCTACTCTGTGAGTTTAACAACCGAAGATTATTGGATAAATGGGTAGAACTACGTACGTCCAGCGCAAATTCACTCACCGTGGGTGAAAAGTACATTTTCGTGGGGTGTGATGGCGGAATCGTGCGATGTTTCGACCCACAATCACTACAATTTGTCACAACACTACCCAGATCACATTATTTGGGTGTAGATGTCTCTCTAGGACAAAATATCACGTAAGAAACAATTATTTTCGCTATTTTAAGTTGTTCTTTATAATATTTATTGTTTTTTATTAGTCATATGTCTTCACCACCTCCAAACGCGAAGTATCCCGATGTTATCGCACTTACCTACGACGAGAAAAACCACTCAGTCACCTGCGTGTACAACGATCACTCAATTTACATCTGGGATGTGTGGAACATCTACAAAGTCGGCAAATCCGACTCTTTCTATTCCACTCCGGGTGTATCTGGGGCGTGGAAACAGCCCCGACGAATTGCCCGTTACCTCCCGGGTCTTTCCTCACGTGCAGCTGGGATGACACGATCCGTGTGTGGACTTTGGACCGGTTCGATGAGAAGTCCTTCAAAGGCATGTACGTCCGGAATATTTACAGTAAAGAACTGCTGAAGGTGATTTACACGGATCCGGAATGCAATTATCTCAAAGATCGTGGCAGTACAATGCAGGATAGTAAGGAGAATGCGTCCTATGATACAGTTAATGGTGTCAGGTCGATTCGCTTGAGTCCGGACGGGAAGCAATTGGCTTCGGGTGATCGCACGGGGAATATACGGATTTACGAGACGACGAATATGAGTCAGGTGTTGATGATCGAGGCGCATGATTCGGAGGTGTTGTGTTTGGAGTTTAGCGCGCAGGATTCGGGAGGGCACAAGTTGATGGCGAGCGCGTCGAGGGATAGGCTCATTCATGTGTTTGATGTGAATCGGGACTTTAACTTCCTGCAGACGCTGGATGATCATTCTAGTTCGATCACGTCGGTGAGGTTCTTGAACTCGCAGCATGGGAATTTGCAGATGATTAGCTGCGGAGCGGATAAGAGTTTGATTTTTCGATCTTTGGCTGGGGTAAGTGAATATTATTTATTTATTTTGTTGATATTTTAAAGAATTTTAGAGGTATGGTTATGAAATTAAAAATTTAGGATCTATATTAATTTATTTTTGATATTATCTTTTAATTTTAATTTTTTGATGATTAGGTTTTGAGTTAAATGTTTTGGTTTTTTCTTTATAACTTTTAAACTAAACTTGATGCGAGTTTCATTGAAGTTAAATCTGGAAGTTTATTAAATTTCCTATTTAATCATGTGTCGATCATTATTTTAGGCTGATTAGTTTTCTCATAATTTGCTTGTGAAATTAATTAATATTCCAAATGGGCTTCTTTTTTGCATTGGTCTATTATTTTGTTTATAACTTGAGTATAAAACATGTTTCATGTTTCCAACTTGCTTAAATTTAAAGTTAGATAAATTCTCTGCCTAATAATATCTCATTCATAATTTTTTGATGATTAGTTTTTGAGTAATTAGCGTTTGAAGTTGATATTTTCAAAATGGCGTGTATTTTGCAATGTTTTTGTTTTTTCTTTATAACTTTCAAAGTAAAATTGATACAAGTTTCATTCAAATAATTTTGAAGTTAATTAAATTTCCCATTTAATTATATTTCATTCATAATTTTGTGATTGTTAGTTCTTGAGTAATTAGCTTGTAAAGTTCAAATTTTCAAAAATGCATTAGTTCAATATTTTGTTTATAACTTTGGATATAATTAATCTACAGGGTTTATATTTAGCTCATTTTATTGCCAATTAAATTCCTAATCTAATTCTACCTTTTATATTTATTAAAATATTTTATTTTCTTTAAGACTCCGAATGGAACTCCGCAATTCCAACGTTCGCACAACGCCACCGGCAAAAACACCCTCTACGACATGGAAATCGACGCCGGCGAGAAACACGTCCTCACCGCCTGCCAAGACCGCAACGTCCGCGTTTACAACGTTGTATCCGGCAAGCACACAAAAACCTTCAAAGGCTGCATCGGCGACGAAGGCTGTCTCATCAAAGTCGTCCTGGATAAATCCGGCAGCTATCTCGCCACATCCAGCACAGACAAATCACTCTGTGTTTATGATTATTACACTGGTGAATGCATGGCGACAATGAGCGGACACTCCGAACTAGCCACGGGACTCTGCTTCACCAGCGACTGCAAACGCATCATTTCCACCAGCGGAGATGGCTGCATCTTCGTCTGGAAACTACCGCATGATATGGTTGTGTCCATGCACGCACGCTACAACCAACAGGTGATGTTATCCGGGAAGAAACCCGATGAGGAATTGTTCAGCGAGAATGAGAGTGAGAGTGATGAAGATCTGTTAAATACAACAATCATCAGAAGGTTAGTAATATTTAACTTAATTTTTTAATATGATTGCGAATATGATGAAAAGAAAAAAGTTCCAATGTGTAAGTATTTTGTTTATAACTTTCCAACAAATTATTCTATAGAAGTTAAATTAGGAATATTTTATTCTTAATTAAATTCTGCATCATATTATTATTTATTTTTGGAAATCGGTTAATTACTTTTGTTGTAATTGACTTGTGAAGTTAACATTTAAAGGAAATGGCTTCGGTTAGTTTTTTGTGAATAACTTTAAAAGTACTAAAGGTGCATATTTTAAATTTGGTTTATTGGAAGACAATTAAATTCTAGACAAAATAATACTTCATTCATTGCTTTGCGAAAATTACTTTTTAATAAATTAGCTTATAAAATTGTTTAATTCCAAAATTACATGCTTTTTTTCATGAAATAGGTTACATTTTTGTTAATAACATTTAAATTAATGGTGCCACGTACTTTCTGTTAGTCTTATTCTAAAGTCTATTAAATTCCTCATCAAATTATCTCTTAATTGTATTTCTAGAATGAGTTTTGGTAAACTTCCCACATGGGCTAAGAAAAAGATGACGAAAAACTTCAAACCCGCTGAGGAACCACCAGAGAAGAATATCGTACAGCCTAAAGGACGATGGGCCGAACGGGCGGCTAATAATGAAATGGGGAAGAACGCGTATTATTTTTCAGACGTGGATAGTTCGTTAGAAAGCGACCGGGATCTTTCCAATGCGAATAAAACAAAGGTTTGTGCAAGAAATTATTGTTTTGGTGCGCTGTGCTTGGGTTGCTTTACACATTATGCTTTCAGGACTTAAATGACGAGGTGATGGCAAGCACCGATGCAAGTACATCGCAGGTTTGTACTCTTATTATTTATTAAAAATTATTTATAAATTGTTTATAACTATAGCACGAAACGTGTTACATGTTTCAAGCTTGCTATAATTTAATTCCCTGTCCAATTTTGTTTCATTCATAATTTTGTGATGATTAGTTTTCGAGTAATTTGGTTTTGAAGTTGATATATCCAGAAAAAAATATTTCTTATTGCATTAGTTTAGTATTTTGTTAATATCTTTAAGAATAACTAATCTGCAAGTTTGATATATGTCACTTTTCATTGCCAATTTAATTCTTTATCTAATTTTGTTTCATTAATATCTACATGACAATTAGTTTTTGTTTAATTAGCATGTAAAATTGCTTTTCGAGAGAAAACAGAATCAAAATTAGTTTTGTTGTTTTTGCGTAGGAGCGTCACAAAACACACTACATTTGCATTATCATTAGTTAAGATTATTTTACTAATATTAATTATATTGTTCATTATTTAGGTTGATGCAACTGCCGAAAACGATCTGGAATCAACCGCGCATGATGCCGACGTTGATTCGGATCATGATTACCGTCAACAACCCCTGTACTACCCGAACGCCGCAGATTCCGCATCCGGTAGTGAATTCACCGTGAATAACATCGACGTTGATGAATTGAGGAAGTCGGTGCGGCGTTCGAAACGCGCTAGTCTCCCGCCGTTGGCCCTGCAGTCATCGACGCCAAATCCACAGACTTCCTTGAGTACTGGTACCGGTAGTCAGGAGAGTGATGACGATGACGACGATGAAGCGTCGACTCCGAGTGGCGAGAACACCGACGCTAATCCGATGTCTATTTTATCGACGAGTATGGAGTCGCTGTATCATAATCGGGAGAAGTATCTGCAGTCGACGTATGAGAGTCTTAGTGGGAATGAATTGGATTCACCTGCATGTAAGATTTTTAAAATTATATTTGGTTTGTTTAATAGTAATTATTTTAATCTTAAATTATTTGATAGTAAATAAGTCGTCGATATCAGCACAACATCACACGCGGAGAAGTTTGGGGTTGCGGAATGTCGCTGTAGTGAATGCGGCGAAGCAGACGAAGAATGATGTGGAGACGACGAAGAAACGCGAGCTTTTGAATAAGATGATTGCGGATACGAAGAAAAAGTTGCAATGTGTAAGTAATTTGTTTATAACTTTTCAACAAATCATACTACAGTATTCAAATTAACATCATTTCATTCTCTATTAAATTCTGCATTAATACTTTTTCTATTTTTGAATATTAGTTAATTACTTTTCTTGTAATTACTAAAGTAGACATTTTGATAAATATTGATTTTATCTATTTGTTAGTTTTTTGCGTATAACTTTAAAAATAATAAGGTTACAAAGTTTAAATTTGGCTTATTGCAAGTCTATTAAATTCTTAAGAGAATAATACTTCATTCATTGCTCTGAGATAATTACTTTTTGAGTTATTAGCTTGTATATTTGTTTAGTTTCAAAATTACGATTTTATGAAATGAAATAGGTTAGTTTTTTGTTAATAACATTTAAACTAATGTTGTCACATGCTTTCTGTTAATATTATTTCAAAGTTTATTAAATTCTTTATCAAATCATGTTTAGGTCATAATCAAAACATGATTAGTTTCTGAGTAATTAACTTTTAAAATCAATATTTTCGAAATAACGTCTATTTTTGCAATAGTTTAATATTTTATTCATAACTTCAAATCTATAAATCTTACAAGTTTCATCTTAGCTAAAATTTAAAGCCAATAAAATTCCTTATCAAATGGAGTATTATTCATAATTTTTGCTTAATTAGTTTCGGAGTTATTAGCTTGTAAAGTTCATTTTTTTCAAAAACCGTATTTTCGTGCATTTCTATCATTTTTTGTTGTTAATTTTGAAACTAAACACAATACAACTCTTAAATTTGTTAATATTTAAACCCAATTAAATTCTCCATTAAGTTTAACTTCATCCAAAGTGGATATCAATGTTAATACTGGATTTATGTATTATTTATTCAGATTGGATACGTGTCACCATTAAAAGCCTCCCAATCAATCTGTGACCTATCCCACGTTCCCGAGAAGGAAGGCCGCAAGGACCGCCACCGATCAACAGGTAACACTAATTGCTGCGACCCACAAATTGACATGCACGCGAGTACTACTAACACTAATCAACTTAATAAAAATGCGCTCGGAATAAATTTGCGCTCCGACTCGCAATCAGTGCCGAACGATTTGCAACTGTGCGGTTGTTACATGCGCGAAATCCAACGCAATCTAAACTCTCAGCCACGTTCATTAAACATGAACATACCTATCAACCCCAGCACAAAACTGAGCGACATCCTCAGCAAAAGTCCTGAAAAACACGAACAGAATCTAGCTGCATGGATTGAACCGCGACGTCTTCAACTGGACAAAACATTAAATAAACTGTATAAAAGTCTGCCTGTATCACCCGTGAGTGAAGAGAAGTTTGACTTTGAGTTTAACTTGGAAGACGAACCACAATCTTCATCGCTAAAGAAACACAGTGTAAATAAAAAGAAAACTCGTAAAAGTTTCAGTTACTTTCTTGATATTGATAATGAGCATGAAGTAAAGAGTCAATCGAACGACGATAACTTCAGACAAATATGCGACGACATTGAGAAATTCTCACAGGATTTCAGTCGTAATTATCAAGCGATTGAAGATATATTTAATAGCGGATCATCGCATCGTCCGAAAGAGTTATTCGTGAATTCCGGTTCGGGTTTTCAAACTTTAGAAAACTCTAAGGCTAAAACCTCCGAGTGGATTTCATCACAATTCGGAGAAACTGTCAATGACGATCCTGAGAATGGTAACTTTAGTTCAGATTCCCTTGAAGATTGTAGTTTTAACTCAATGCGGCCATGTCGCAAGAAGCATAAGAAACCGCAACCTCCACGTCGATGTGTTTCCAACAACGAATTGTATAATTTAACACAAAACGACGATGAAAAGATTGATGAGAAGTATCTAAACGTTACAATGTCCAAGAGTTACAGTCAAGGCCAACAAGGACAAGGATTCTACTTGAATCAATCCGCGTATAATTCGCAAGAAAGTATTTTATCTTCAGAAGATAATTTACTGGATCGTAGAACTCGGTCGTTTTGTAATAGCATGGAGAGTATTCTCAGTAATGAGTCCGATTGTAAATCAGCGCCTTTGGAGTGTTTATTCAGGGATTACGACTCAATGCGACGCTCCAAGTCGTGTAATTATACTCTGGAAGTGCCAGTGTTAGCTTCGCCGACGAAATGTTCGAAAACTGTGCAGACACAGACCGATTTTGAGACACCGGAGGAAGTCGTGGTGAAAAAATCAAAAAGTACTGAATTTCAGCAGAGATTATTACGTTTTGAACAGAAGAAACCAGTCGCTTACTTCTTAGAAACGAATAAAGAATCAAAAAAGATGGAGATTCCGTCGATGCAGTTCAAAAACGCGCAATACAAGTCAAAATATTGCAATGTTTTGAATAATAAACCAGAGTGTAATGAGAAACAACTCATGGGTAATCCACAGTTTGCATTGACAACACAAAATTTACCCTCGAGTAACAACGGCAATAATAATTTAAACACAAATTTGTCGTTGAAGAATAAAAATAAGTTTCAAGAAACAGCTTCGTTGGATAGACATTTATTATCTAAGGGATTATTGGAATCTTCAGAGAAGATTTGTCATAAACCGCCGAAAGCTGTGCGGCGTCACAGCTCAAAAACACGCCGTAGATCTTCAGCAACAAGAACAACATATGAATACGTTAAAAAGAAGATTTGAATAAAGTGAATTTAGAGAATTCACCGCCTACAACAACTACAACGACCTCGATTGAGTTTTCTTATAAAGAAAACAACACTGAAAAAGATTTAGAAGATGTGCAAACTAATACTAGCACATCACAAAGTTTATCCTCGAATGTAATAACTGTACAACTCGCGTTTGTAAACATAAAAATACTCAATGATATCCAAGAGAAGATTGCGGGTATAAATAATTTGATTGAATTGTATAAAACTTCTTTAGCTATCGGAAAGGTTAAAGCGTTGTCATCTATGTATGATAATTTAAGTAAAGGTAGTTTAAGTGTTAAACCACCGAGGAGGAATATGTCACTGCCGGACTTCTTTGACATGAAGTTCTACCAGTGCAATCAGCGCAATTTCAATTATGATGGAGAAGTTGACGAAAAGGAAGAGAAGTTTTATAAGGACGAGTTTAACGAGTTGAGTAAAAGTGTTCCGTCGACAACGAAATCTGTAAATTATGAAGACAAGTTGATTAATCAATATTCACCCGAAGAAGTTGATCAAGTTGAAGTTGAAGGTGATTGATTGATTGCATATATATGTTTTGTTTAATTTAATTGATTCAATGTGCGGCCTGGCAGAACATATTTATTTCTCGGGATTTATTTTTGTTAAGTTGATTTTTTTCAAGTTTTAATCATTTTTTAATACTTGCATGTGTGTTTTATTATTATTAATTATTATATTAAGCATGTTTATTTATTATTTGCACGCAGCTAGTTTCTGTTGTGTTGTTTTGTGAGTGTTTTGTTTGCATTGGTTGTTTTTCAGTGCAACGAAGCAGCAGTAATGCGAAAGAAGTCGCCGCGTTTGTGGATGCAAGAATGGCGGCGCAATTGGATGCCTCGGGCAGCGGGGGCGGTAATATGCGTCGGGCGTGTAGCCTCAGCGATTTGAGCCATCCCAGCACACCGCCGCATCATAATAATAGTAGTAGTACCAATAGTAGACAGGAAGGTAAACCAGATAAATGAACAAAGTTGATAAATGTGCTTTTTATTGTAGTAGCATGTGCTTAGCATGTTTTATATGAGTTTTTATTTAATTGTGAGTTTTTCCTGTGGGTATTTAAGTTTTTGATTGATTTCTAGGTAAATACCCCAAGAATCCTCAGGTTACACGTTTGAGAAACCGAGATGTTGAGAGAAATTCAGATAGGACTTCATCGCATTCATCGCCGATGATGCGTAGCAGTTCAGTGAGTGTTTTAAATCCTTCTGACTCTGATGATGGAGGCGGTAGTGGCAGTGGTAGTAGGAATGGTTTGTCTGATAAACTTGCCTCACAATCGAGGCTTATGCGGCCGACAATTAGCTCACAGAATAAAATCGCCGGAGGGAAGAATTTATTAAGGAAACGACATTCTCACTCAACACGTATGTATTTTTAACACCTTTAAAATTTACTGGTTAATATTAATATTTAATATGTTTTTAGTTAATTTAGCGTCAATTACAAGAGAAGATAGTTCTTCCGAAGAGTCTGAAGCCCCGCCGCCCCCAATTCAGAAACCTGTGGTCCCGCCACGAAAACACCTTCCTATACAAAACGACGTGAAGCATTACAATAACATGCGTGACAAATTAAAAGCGCTCGAGGCTGGCAATGAAGTGATTATTAACAATGCGACTACGAATGGTAATCAGGGTGTACAAGCGACGAATCGTGCCAAATGGTCCAAACCGGAGGTGAATAATGTGGAAGTGTCTACTACAATTCAAGGTAAATATTAATATTAAATAATTAAATTGTTTATACTAATATTTTGTGTGTTTTTATTAGAATCTAAGAAGTTATGTAAAGATGTTGCTGATAATCTCGTCTCAACCGCCAATGAAGTGGTGAAACTTTACGATAATCTGACCAGCGCTAATAAAAAGGACCTCGCCGCCGGAAACGCACCCTCCGCTGTTGAAGAACGTACCAATATGGTGAAAACCCTCCAACTGAGCATCGTGACAACACAAAAGGTGCTGCATGACCTCACGTTGCAGATTCTGCGGCAGGATCGTAGCAATGTGGACGTGAATCAAACCGATTCGGTGAAGAAACTCAACGATCTTATTGAAAAAGGCTTCCCTACTGATGAATCTGCGATTGTCAACATTATGCAACAGTATTCCGATATTCTGCTCGGTATGATGCAGCAGAAGATTGAAGACTCGAACAAGTAATTTCATTCTTACCACTGTTAAGATCAAAAGTAATTAATTAATGTGTAAAGAGTTGTGATTGGAGTGGAATTGCTACATTTTGAAGAAAACGCCAATTATCGATAGTGTCTCTTGTTTAGGTTGTACGCATTGTAATTTATTTTAGTTGTTTCATATTCTTGTCTCTTCATTAAGTTTACTGTTAAATTATTGTACGTATGGGTAAGCGCCAACTGACATATTCAACATTCCATTTTTGTACGGATATTTTGAACTGATGTGATTTGTGAACTGAGGACGCGGACTGAACTTGTGCGCCAAACGTTTTTGGAGGTTTTTTAATGTGCGAAATGATGGGGAGCGAAGCAAACAGAACAATTACAATGTGTTATAGATAGGTGGTTCAATTTTCAGTTGTATTGTTGCTGGTTGTACCTAGTTGTAAGCTGTAAGTTTGTACGTTCTGTTGTGTTTTGTTTGATTTGTTTTGGAGTGAAGGATGTTTAACCGCAATGCCAAAATAATGTCGAATTAGAAACGAATTAAAGATATTAACAATGAATTTGTGTTTTAAGTCATTTATTCCTTGCCTCAATTTGGTCCTATTCCTTTATATTTTTTAAAGAAAGCGATAAATACTTGTTTTGTGCCCTTTAGGCAATGCTTTAAAAGAACTGAGAAAACCTATAGAATGTGCCATATTCAACTAAAAAAAACAGCCGAATAAAATAAAATCCGCCGAAAATCGGCCGAAAACTTCCTACCTCCTTACACGTTCTGTGATCCTGATACTCGAAAGTGATTTTGTCGAGTTTCGCGAACAAAATTTGCCTCGAAATTGTTTCAAATCGGGTTGAAGTATTAGGAGAGCAGAACGTGTGAGGAGGTGGTGAAAGTTTTCATTTCAACCTGACCTCTAGCGGCGGCGTATCGAAGTACACAAAACTGTAAAACTTTTCGGCGTTGCAATTTCTGATAGGTAGAGGGCACTAGTAGAAAGTTTGTAAAAAATTCAAAATTCAAAAGATATTTATTAATTTTCGGTACGAAATAAATCCAGAAAAGGATTTTTGGTAATAGGATAGCAGAATGTGAGAGGAGGTGGAAAAGTTTTCACACATCTTCGCAATAAAATAAAATTTTCAACACGTTTCAGCGACAACAAAATTAAAATTAAAATCAAAAAACCAAAGAAAAAGTATTGAAAATTAGGATTCGAACAACTTAAACAAATAAGTTTAATTGTAAAAATTTTAGACATTAAAAAGTGGCTATTTTTCACGGCGTGTTTCCCAAAACTCACAAAATGGCTTAAGTTTAAGGGTCATTTTAAGGCTCTTCCAGGTCCACTACAAGGTGTACATAGGGTGCACCTGAAAGATCAACTCTTTAGATATAATATTATGTAAAGAAACTTGAAATTACCCTTAAGGTTCACGAGTTATAAGCCATTTTCCACGGCGTGTTTTCCAAAACTCACAAAAATGCTGAGTTTTAAGGGCCATTTTAGGGCACTTCTAAGTCCACTACAAGGTGATCATAGGGCGCATCTGAAAGACCAACTCTTTAGCTACAATATTATGAGAAGAAACTTAAAATTACCCTTAGGGTTCCCAAGTTATGAGCAATTTTCCACGGCGTGTTTTCCAAAACTCCCAAAAATGCTGAGTTTCAAGGGCCATTTTAGGGTACTTCCAGGTCTACCACAAAGTGATCATAGGCTGCATCTGAAAGATCAACTCTTTAGCTATAATATTATGTAAAGAAACTTAAAATTACCCTTAGGATTCCCAAGTTATGAACCATTTTCCAAGGCGTGTTTTCCAAAACTCACAAAAATGCTGAGTTTCAAGGGCTATTTTAGGGCACTTGCAGATCCACCACAAGGTGATCATAGGGTACATCTGAAAGATCAACTCTTTAGCTATAATATTATGTAAAGAAACTTAAAATTACCCTTAGGGTTCCCAAGTTATGAACCATTTTCCAAGGCGTGTTTTCCAAAACTCACAAAAATGCGGAGTTTCAAGGGCCATTTTAGGGCACTTGCAGGTCCACTACAACGTGATCATAGGGTGCATCTGAAAGATCAACTCTTTAGCTATAATATTACGTAAAGAAACTTAAAATTACCCTTAGGATTCCCAAGTTATGAACCATTTTCCAAGGCGTGTTTTCCAAAACTCACAAAAATGCGGAGTTTCAAGGGCCATTTTAGGGCACTTGCAGGTCCACTACAACGTGATCATAGGGTGCATCTGAAAGGTCAACTCTTTAGCTATAATATTACGTAAAGAAACTTAAATTTACCCTTAGGATTCCCAAGTTATGAACCATTTTCCAAGGCGTGTTTTCCAAAACTCACAAAAATGCGGAGTTTCAAGGGCCATTTTAGGGCACTTGCAGGTCCACTACAATGTGATCATAGAGCGCACCTGAAAGATCAACTCTTTAGCTATAATATTATGTAAAGAAACTTGAAATTACCCTTAGGGTTCCGAAGTTATGAGCCATTTTCCACAGCGTATTTTCCAAAACTTACAAAAATGCTGAGTTTCAAGGGCCATTTTAGGGCACTTCCAGGTCCACCACAAGGTGATCATAGGGTGCATCTGAAAGACCAACTCTTTAGCTATAATATTATGTAAAGAAACTTAAAATTACCCTTAGGGTTCCTAAGTTATGAGCGATTTTCCAAGGCGTGTTTTCCAAAACTCACAAAAATGCTGACTTTCAAGGGCCATTTTAGGGCACTTGCAGGTCCACTACAGCGTGATCATAGAGCGCACCTGAAAGATCAACTCTTTAATTATAATATTATGTACAGAAACTTAAAATTACTCTTAGGGTTTCGAAGTTATGAGCCATTTTCCACGGCGTGTTTTCCAAAACTCACAAAAATGCTGAGTTTCAAGGGCCATTTTAGGGCACTTCCAGGCCCACTACAAGGTGTATAAAGGGTGCACCTGAAAGACCAACTCTTTAGCTATCATATTATGTAAAGATACTTAAAATTACCCTTAGGGCTCCCAAGTTATGAGCCATTTTCCACGGCGTATTACAAGTTATGAGCCATTTTCCACGGCGTGTTTTACAAAACTCACGAAAATGCTGAGTTTCAAGGGCTATTTTAGAGCACTTCCAGGTCCACTACTAGGTGATCATAGGGCGTACCTAAAAGATCAACTCCTTAGCTATAATAATATGTAGAGAAACTTAAAATTACCCTTAAAGTTCACGAGTCATGAACCATTTTCCACGGCGTGTTTTCCAAAATTCACAAAATGGCTTTATTTCAAGGGCCATTTTAGGGCACGTTTAGGGCCAGTACAAGGTAAATAAACGCACCTGAAAGATCAACTCTTTAGCTACAAAATGATGTAAAGTAAATAAGTAAGTATATAAGCCAGTTCCACCACGTCTTTTCGGAAAATTACAAAATGACGTATTAGACTACCATCTTGGCACGTCCAGACTACTCCAACGTATCTACCAGCACTTCTTTTGTTATATCTCATACAGTACATCTAGAATACTAAAAAAATTAAATTAAAACTAAGATTTTACAAAGAATGTCCAATGTTCTGTTTTGCTTATGTATCATACCCAAGATAAGATGTGTAACTTCCATAATGAAGAAAGGATAACAAGAACCCGATATTTACCTATAAGATAAACCAAGCAGCATGCCGCGCAATGACACATTCACTTAAGTCAGTACATTATAACCCCCAAACTAAACAAATAAACAAGTAAACAACTCACAGAAATCAAAGAAATGTTACTCCCTGAAGTTAAAACCATTGTCAGGATCATACCTTATTTGAATTAACGAATAAAATGAACCATTTGAACGTCACTTTGGTAAATTTCACAATGTAGATGAAACTGATGAAACCATAGCACTTCAGCTCACGTTGAGCATCAACTGACAATTGCGAACATTGCGAACAACGAGTACGCGCAGGAGACGTAAACACACCTGCGCGCAATAAAACATACTCACACATACGCATGCGTGCAGGTACCACTAACAGCCATACTCAGCCATATTCAACTTTTACCAATATTTTGAAGCAGTTTTACACTTATTTTATGAAAATTGTAAAATTACATTTATTTAACAAGATAAAATCACAGAATAATAATAAACTTGCAAACATTTAGGTTGAACAGGGTGTTTTTGCTAATTGCATTTATAAAAACAACAATTACACTAATTTATTATTAATTATTAATGTAAATTGCTCTTATAGACTTGCCAGCAAAAATATTTTGTAATAATGTAAATTCTAAAATATTTTATATAATTTTTAAACAAAACCTGAAACCAATAATGTGTTAAAATATAACCAAAGCGTATTTTTCGCATTTTCTCCCACATAAATCAAACAATTCCGCGTGTAAAAACGCTTAAATCAAACACGCCCTTCGTTTGCACCCATCCACCGCCACTCGTCGCCACCCTCCTAATCGCCGAACGCGCGCTCAACTCGCGGGCGGCGTTTAATTCCGCAAATGTTCGCATTTCGAAAGTAATCAAACAAATTTATACGCAACTCTCCGCGGGCGTGCGCTGCGTATTTTTTTCTCCTCTCCTCTCCTCTTCTCCACCTCCTCCATCTTTCGCTCGCATAAATTGAAATGCGGAAAATGGAAAATCCAATTTAAGAACGGGCTGCGAAGCGAGCGCGAGCGCGCCGAGCAATAAGTAATAAAAAATGCGGGAAATTGAAATAACAGCGGCGGCCAATGTAAGCGTCGTAAAGTACGCAGCGGGGCGAATAAAAGCGAAGCGATGAAACGATGAAAAGAAAACGAAATAAAATCCGCTGCATAAAGAGAATAAAAACCGAAGCGGGTGAGAATAAACGCAGGCGCGCGGGGGTGTGAGTTTAAGCGAATTTAGTACGAGTTTGAAATGAGAGTCTGCCGAGCGAGACTTTTCTTTACACATTATTCTTTCGTGCTTTTTTTTCGGGGAGAGTTGGAAAGGAAATTTACGGCGCTTTAATTATGTGATTGTTAATTTTAATTGAGTTTTTATTAAAAAGTTTTAACTGTTTTCTTGTGTCTACAAATTGCAAAAAAATAATAAAGTTTAGTTTTTTGTAAATTGCATAAAAACTATTGGAGTTATATTGATAAATTTAATAGAATTTAATTTTGTATTAAATTTTACATATAAAAGTGAAAGAAATATGTAATTACGTGTTATGTTACAATAGTTATTAACAATTAAAATTGGAAAATGCAAAAAAATGCAAAATTTATTTATTTGTTTAACAATGTAGTTTAAAAAGTATTTATTATGATACCATTAAAACAAATTGATAAAATATTAATTAATGTATAGATTGCTAAAGAAATCAGTCAAATAAATTGATTAGTTTTCAAGTTATAACAAAAAAACTAACAAAAGTATACTTCCCACATCACATGATCTTAAATCACAATTAAATTTATGAATAACTAAATAAACACGCTAACTAAATTAAATATTTATATATGTAAAGATTAAGAATTAAATTCTGCTACGAATAAAGCAAAAGACATGTCAATACATTAAATAAACAAAACGTTATACACAATTAAAAAAGTGATTTTGTAAAAATGTCGGAAAACTGACACAAATTTATCAAAATAAACAATTATTTGTCTTTTTACATACGTAAAACTACTTTACATGTTTAATACTGAACATATAAAACATTTTAACATGTATACTACGATGTTAATGCCCTTTGGCAAGTTTCTACTGCCAAAGACAGAAATTGAAACGAATGCGAATGAGATGTGCGTGCATTCAATCGATTTTCACTCTTGCAATGCCTTCCCGTCTTTCCAGCATACTCTAATCTCTGCTAATACTCATGATTGAACCCTCAGGGATGCACATAATCAAATTTTTCCTTAAAAATATCACAAAAAACAGCAAAAACTGAACATAAATCAACATAAATCAATAAATCCATAATAATATAGTATTAACACTTTTATTCTTTTGTAAGTAAGAGAATATTACATTTTATTAGGTATTATATTACACATATTACAATAATATATTAACCAAGGGTGAAATTGTGTGCTATTGTGGAATATTGAGGGCTGAACATGTAAAAAACGTACTAGTATTAAAAAAATCAGTTTTTATACAAAAAACATCGGTTTTGATTTGTATTTTTATGGAAATGCGAAAATAATGGTGGAAGCATAGGATTGAGATAATGGATCAACGGTTTATTTGTATTTTTAGGGGTGCAGGGTAATTTTGATACTTTTTTTAGGATTTTGCTCTTTTTCTCATGGTACAATGAGGTACAATTGACTGTATGTTACGCCCACAGTGAATACAATAAAAAACGAGAATATAAAAGTAAAATATGTTAAACTAGTATTAGTGGTGCGAGTTATTGTGGATTTTGAGGTTATATTAGGTTATTTTATGTTCACCTGCTGGAAAATTAATTTTTTTTGCTTTTTTTCAGCAAAAGAAAAGAAAAATGTTGTTTATTTAAAAGAAAATTAATATTAATTGTAATACTAGACATATGTGGACTTTCTAGTAAAGAGATTAGGTTATAACAAGCAATTAATCAATCATTGCATCAATTATTTAGACATTTCATGATTTTTCTTAATAAAATTATATTTTTGTCTGAAATAACTTTGTTAAATGCTTTATTAACCTTATAGTAATAAATCTGATGAATATTTATATCATATATTATCGTTAATATGCTAATAAATTAACAATTTGCTTTAGCAAAGCTTGAAACAGTCAAAATAAAAAAAAAACATGTGTTTTTTCAGTTGCCTATAGTTATTCACACCCTTAATCCTTGAATACAATTACTTTTATTAATGTAACATAAAAACTACAATGTAAACAACAACAATTATGCAAATATCCGTCACATAAATAAATAATTAATCAAAAATAAAATATGCGCATGTTATTAAACCTTAACATAAATATGTACCTATTCGTTGTACTTACTCTTGTGAATATCACCGGTGTGTGAATGGTTTGTATCAATTTAATTTCTATATTATGACAATTAAAAAATTATTTCACACACGAGCGAGCTTTTGTCCACATCCAAATCCACATCCACATCCATCGACATCCTGCGCTGCGTTTGACTTTGCTTTCTCTCGATGTGCACTGACGCGCGAGATGATATCGTATGATAAATGTGCATGCAACATTCAGCAGCCCTCGGAACATCTGAAAGAGTCGCGAAAGGGTTGAAACCATAACATAACATACACGTATGTATTTATAAGGGTGATGTAGTTCTATTTAGTTAAAGGGGTTGCAAATGATGGAAATTAATCAGAGCCTTTTTAATATTTAGTTTTTTTGATTGAAAGTTTGAAAGTTCATTGTTGAGGTTATGTTAGAGTAAAATAATATGTAATAGTAAAATGAGGAATAAATGTTAAAATTTGATGATATTTGAACTTGAAAGCTTGAATTATATTATTATTAATGAATGATTGCTAAATTTTGTTAATAATAGAAGCACAAATGTTAATTATAAATGCTTAAACGTCAATAATACAACTAATATAGATTTATGTGACCCAAAACACAAATGTGTAATAAAGGTTGCCTATTATAACTAGAAACATGGTAAAAATGCAAGTTAAAATTATGAAAATTAAAATTAAAATTACTAAATTAAAGTAAATCAGCGCAAAAAAACAAAAAAATGTTGATGGAAATTTAAAGCAAGTTAAGAAATGGGCAATCAATAATGTGTCATAAAAGTTGCCTATCATAATCTAGAAATAACCGAAAATATCAACAAAAAACTTTAATTTCTAATTAAATAAAAGCTATTTCAACCAAAAATTGTTAACATTGTGCTAATAAACATAAATTACCCAATTTTATATCAAAAATCTTTAATTTTTTACTTTTGAAAGCTCAAAAAGCTGTAATGTGAGCTTTGAAACAGTTCAAATCACCGAAACCAGTTTAAACGGTTCACCTACAATAATATATCACGTGAATGGTGAACAACCCTTCACATTGACGAACATTAGTGAGGGCTAGTGAGGGTTGTTTGCGAGCGTCACTAATTGGGCGTATTTACACCGAAGCGGGACGCTCCCGAGGGCTGCCGAGGGATGGTCGACCGCATCGCACGCACATCATTTACACAACAATAAATTGCTTAACTTTTAACCAACACAATCAAACAGAAACATTACAAACATCAATTGTTCTCAAAAAAGCTCAGAAAAACTGATATTCATAAATAAAATCAAGAAAAAAATTGTTTTCTTAGAAATTAGGTTATGTTTTTTGAAAAATATAGTTTTGAGAGCTTAGAGCTTTTCAGAAGCTTTTTATGTTTATTATATTTGTTAATATAAATAATAAATAATAAAAAACAAAATTTTTGATGAATGTCTAAACTTTTAAAAGTTTTAAACTTTCAAGAGTTCTACGCGGGAGCTTTTTTGATTTGCTGTCAGTTGGCGTGACGAAATCATCTCGAAACGTCTTGAAAGTCCGGATTAATTAAAATTTCAAATCGCCGGACACTCGAGACGTGCCCCTTCTGACGTCTTCCTTCCGCCTTTCCGCTTTGCACGCTCCCCTACAAATATTCACCGAGCTTTTAAGCTTTTAATAAAAAGCCAAGCAAAACAACAGCAACGAAAAAAATAAATTAATACGAGAACAAATTACGAATTTGTGTGCTTTAATTATAATCATTTAATTACATCTCCTTGAAAGCTCGACGAAGCTTTCAAAGCTCTCTGGTGAAAATAAAAAACGAAAAAATGAATCTTACGCATTTCTGCTGTTTATTTATGTATGGATGAAGGCAAAAAGAATTAAAATTCACATTTTTATTTCGTCCTTTCGTCCCGAGAGCTTTTGCGAGCTTTGGCATGCATTGTT